ACAGCATTCTCCGCAGATGAACTGCCAGAAGAAGTGTCACTTGTATTCGTTTGCTGGGTGGGAGCTGAAGGTTCTTCTGAATGCGAACCGTTAGTTGGGTTCCCTGTTGATTGTGTAGTAACCCTTGCATCAGTTTGGGAATCAGTATTCTCAGCGTCTCTTTTGTCGCCAACGGAAGGGCTCCCTGCTGCTTTACCAGCTTCCTTTAATTGCTTACTTTGTTCAGCACTGCCTGTTTGTGCTTTATCCTTCTGCCCTGGTTCGGCGAGATTATCGTCAGTACCGTTGCCAGCACTCTCCTCATCTGTATGGTCACCCAATGTTTCTTGTACCTGCTGCCCTGCACCCTGACCTCCACTATCATCACCACCACCAGAACGGACAGCAGAAGAAGTATGAGAATCACAGGTACGGCCATCAACCGCAGAAATTTCACCACCAGTAGCTGAAGGACAAGTAGAAGAAGCAGAATGTGTCAAAGATCCACCAGTACTCCCTCTATCACCTAAAGGTCCAGTAGGACCAGAAGGAACTTGAGGGCCGGTTTCACCATTTTTCCCCGAAGAACGATGAGTACCTCCCTCAGGACCAGGAGTCTCTCCAATCGCCACCCCCACACATGCAATGCTCAGCAGCAAAACCATGGAAAACAACGTACGACACAACATCATTACCACATAGAAAATAGTGTTTCTTAATTTGGACGAATTAACATCAAAAGAAGAAACAACGAAGACCAAAAACAAAAAAAAAGAAAAACAAAAACGCAGCCTAATTAAAGAAAAACAAAAACAAAAAAACAACGAAAATACAGCCCAAAGTAAGAATAGAGAAAAACAAAACCAGCAGTAAAAATACGGTACAAACAATAAAAAAGAAGAATCAATAACACCATATACAACCAAATAAAACATAAAACAAACAGAACTTAATGGCACACAACACAAAAGCAAAGCGAAAAGTGAGTATGTTTAAGTTAATATGCAATTAGTACTACTCTTTCTCTCTTACTGTCTTATTTTTTCAAGAGCCCACCATCATCATTGCCACAAGAGAAAAAGCACACTCAACGCCCCAGCGAACCAAAAGCAAACAAAAAGACATTAACCATTAGCTCAATTTACACAGTAAACACAAGAAATACAACAACAATGGGTGTAAGCCTGTATGTGTATATGTAAAGAATTATAAACATAAAATCATCTGTTATTATTATTTCCTGATTTCCCTCACTACAAAAATCAGTTCATCATCATCATCATCATCATCATCACAGTGCAAGCCCAGGCACACTCACGGAGAGTCTCCAAGAACACACACATAGACAATGGAGTAGCAATAATAATTATTATAGGATAAACACACAGAGAGCAAAAACACACAGAAAACACAATATCATTAAGAAACAAAAAAAGAAGAATATCCCAACAGGTGGAAGATTAGTTAGATTGTAGGGATGCATGCAAAAAAGAAAAAAAGAAAACAAAGGATGACCTGAGTCACACCACACCACCACCCTCACAATAATCAGCACACAAGAATATTGGCCAGTGTAACCACAATCAGTAGTGGTACACGTACCCACACAGAACTCATACTGCTGCTGTCTGCATCACCCTTCTTGTTGTTTGTGAGTTCAGGAGGAAGTGTTGTTGTTGTGGTGGTGGTGGTGGTTGATTCCTCATCATTACTGGTTGCATTGGTATTGTCAGAGTTTATGGTTTCTGAGTTATTGGTATCACCTGTATCATTGTTTGGTTGAGAATCATTTGTGTCGGGTGTCTGTTCTTGTCTCTCGCTGTTTTCTGGAGTGTCTGTATTACTTGTACTGGGTCCAGTAGATAAATTGGGTTGTGATCCATTTTGATTTCCCTGTGGTCCTTCTGTTCCCGCATTGTTCTGTTCACCTTCAGTTTGAGGATTGTCCATGTTTGGAGAACCTCCATCATGTGCCGGTGTCTGAGTATCCGTATTCTTTTCAGTCACAGTTTCACTCTCTTCTGTCGCCTTTGCACCATGTTTTCCAGAAGTACCTGGCGACAAAGGTTCAGCAGCACCAAGAGGTTTAGGAGCGGCAGGAGTTGAAGGAGGAGCGGCAGGTGCAGGAACCCCAAGAGAAGTATCAGGAGCACAAGGTCCACCGTCAACAGAACGTACAGTACCATCAGGGCAATTATCACCAGTACCACGACCACCATCACGACCAAGTTCCACAGCAGCAGCAGCAGCAGCAGCAGCCTTAGAACAAGATTTACCTTTTTCAGAACGTCCAGGACCTTCAGGACAACTGTCCTCAGTTTGTTGGGCGACAGGAGTACCTTGGAGAAGGATCTTTGTCTCACTCTCCGTATCAGGGACTTGGTCGGAAAGATCGGCGGCAGGCACTTCTTCAGCGAGGACGTGCACACACGCACATGAGAGCAG